TACCAAACACAGATACACAAGTCTGCAGGCTGCAGACATTCCCTCCCTATTTACCGCCTCCTCTAATTTTTAGTATTAGCTGCCAAATTACAAGAGCTTGTGGTTGGAAAATTGCAGCTCAGTATTGAGTAGCTGAACTGTCCCAGGCTGGCATGTCAGCCACAAACGGCGGGCAGAGGTCTCTTTTCTCATTTGATAAAGAACAGGGCACAGAAAGAGCTGTACACAGGCAGCGCCGTTTGCACAGCAAGGCCAGACACGCAGGAGACTGCAGTGTTACCACTGCAAACACAAGCTAGTGCCTTCTACAGAAAGGTCAAAGCATTAACTCCAGACGTGTAGGTGACCTCAGACCAGCTAAAATAGAGTAATTCACTGAACATAGTAGTCTAATTCACCGACCTACTGATGCCATCTTACCAAACACATTTGCCATTTTCTTTGTATCATTCTGAAACCAATAACCTCACTTCAGGCACTTTGAGACATTATCTTCTATTGGGAGATTTGCAAGAGGCAGAATCGTATTGTCTTGGAAAGTGAAAAACTAGGTAACTCCTTCACTTAGAGCGAGCAGCAGATGCAGCCCAGCTGGCCAGACCTTACACCAAGATGCAGGACTGGGATCATGCACCCATTTCTCTTGGTGTGGAGCCAGTGTTGTGACTCAGACTGCAGCCTGTTTTTCTGAAGCTATGTCACTCTGCCTTTAAGGCACAATCATTAAAAAACCCAGAAAAGAAATCATGGGAACAAGGGATTGGACCAGACATCCATTTTGCCCAATACCTGATGTCTGTGTCCATGTGACAACACTCCAGTAAAAAGCCTAAGAAAGAGGGATGACATCAAGCTACATGCTGCCCTCAACATCCATTTAAGATGTAACTTAGAGAGTTCCATACACGAGTACTTAAGAGTCTATTTTATTTTTTAAAATCTTCTACCCACTATGGATCCCATTCTCAGAAAAATATAAATGGAAATAGCGAGAAATAACACTTACCATAATTTATATTAAACCTGAAGCACAATATTTGCATTTATTATCTCCAAACGTCCTCAAACCATGTCATTCACTATGTTATACAGGCTTGTGAACACCCTCTGCTTGCTCTACTTCACAGAGTGTAACTAAGGCACAGCTAAGTCCACCACACACCTCAAACTGTCAGATCAGTCTTCTCCACAAACACTATCTTATATCTATCAGAACTGAATTTGGCCTGCCATTTTCTTGCCCCACCACTTACACCACTGTGAGATCCCTCTGACATTACTCATAGCCAGCTTTTGATCTTATCACCTGGAAAAATGTGCTAGTGCTTTATTATTCATCCTCCATTCCAGGTAGTTTATGAGCACTTGGAACATCAGAGATTCCAGCACACTTTCTTCCAGAAGACTCCAGGAATAACATTCCTGTACTGTCCAATCTTTTTATTTTTTCCATAGTTTCCACTGTTTACCTAGTCACAATAGGATTGCACCAGTTGAACTTTCAAAAAATCTTTGAAATGGCAAATATTTGGTTGTTTTTGGGTTTTTGAGGTGGGGTTTGTTTTCTTGGGGACTTTATGTCTGTGTGTATTAATTTTTTTTTAAGAAATCCAGGTGTATTGTATTATTTAAATCACCTCTATCAAATGCTGATCTGGTCATTGAAACAACAAAGCAGATTTACAGGGCAGAAATTCCTGCTGCAGAAGACAACTTCTCTCTTCTCTGTGAGCTAACACTAATTCTTTTCTTTATTTTTAGATTCTAAGAGGAGCCTGGTACAGAAACCAGGCTTGCTGTTAGCTTCCACTTTCCCAAACAACCCCCCAGACCCTTTTTGAAAAGCCCAGCACGTTTACTGCTTTTCATTCTTCCATTCTAAGGCCAGTTTAAGCAATGATTAAACGCAACCGTGTGTAACTCGGCAACTTCAACACCAAGTTCCTCACAAAGTGAGAACTTTTCCTAGCAATTCTTTGTGCTAGGAATTCACTCCAAAACGTCAAGCTTCTGTCACTTTCCCCCAGCCTGTCCCCTGGAAATGAAGGGTCCACATGGGAACTGTTCTGTAGTGAATAGCAATGCAAATAACTTCTCTGCTGCAGCTTTACCTCCCCTTAGCTCACGTGTAATATTATGAACCTCTATCAGCTCATCGGGATCTCTGACAGCTTTCTGCCTTTGACAGTTAGACAAAAAGCTTTATTTTTTTTTTTAATGTCTTTACAAAGTTGTTCCTCAACATTTTTTTTGCTCTACCTTATTATGGTTTATATTTAACTTGCCAAAGTTAATGCTCTTTCCTATTCTCCTCATTTGGATACTTCTGCTTCAGAAAGATGACTTATTTCTAGGAGTCTTGTTTACTTTACTGTTTAAGCAAGTCATTCATTTCTGTGGCTTCTCTTCCATCTCTTATTTCTCCTCCATTCTCACACTTTACCATTGAAACTGGACACAGTACTCCAGAAATCTTGGATTGTGAGGTTTTATATTTTTATTATAATTCAGCGCTTCACATAAAATTCTCAACTTTTTTGTGTACATATGAAATAGCACTTAAGAAATGGTATTTTATTAAGATTACATGAAGCTTTCTCTGTTTCCAAGACAGTTTTTTTTCTGTCTTGAACGTAACATCTGCATTTGTTCCTCCCAGATGTTTAATTTCATGCTAGATATATTAACATATATTTTGTTGGACTGTGGTCATTTAAATCAGGCAATCCAGATTGTTCCCTAGAAGTAACTGACCCTTTATTTAGTACTCTACAACCTAGGATTCTTCCCAGGTAGAATTATTGATTAAGGGATCAAGCACTGCTAGAATGAGAACTGATTGACTGAGGACCTCATTCAAACAAACAAATAAACAAGCATTTAGTCTTTCCTTACCATCAACCACATTTTGGTACTTCTCAGGCCATTGCCCTTTAATCCATCCAGCACTTGCTCGTGCTTGGTAAAGTCTGAATTCCTATTTTTACCAGTAAAAAAAGCACTTATCAAGAAGAGCTACATTCTTTGAGAAATATTTATTCTATGTCAACTATTTCCACCATATTTTGCCTATTTACATTTAAAATTGCACTAAAAAGTCAGGAACTTTAAAATGGGAAAACATTTATTCATTTTATTCATGCTTGAAAACAGCCAAACCAACTTTATCCAAATATTAAAAACACCCAACAAAACCACACATTTTACAGCAAAGACCAAGCCTAAAAAATGTCAGTTGTAGAGATGATGGATTCCTAATGACACAATCAACTGAAAACAAAAACTAGAATAAAGCAAATCATGCAGCTTGAATCTTTAAATGAACAGGCATGATAATTTGGTTTTAAGAGTTCTAAATATGTTGAATACCTGGCTTAGTAACATTAACATTGCATAGTTCTCCAAGTACAAGGAAAGTTGCAGAAGAGAAAGAATTTTAAGTGCAGCATGATTTTTTTTTCAGAACTACTGGTCAGCCATCCTTACAGCAGTACTCGGTAAAATAATGAAATGTCCAACACTGAATTCAATTGGTAAAGAAATTAAAGGCCTCACAGAAAAAAAAAGTTAACATTAGTTAAGTTCTAGGGCCCATGTTAGATGAGCACCTGAACATAAACACCCAGTGAGATGTTGTGTTTAAACAACATCTTTAAACTGTGAATGTGATTTTTCAATGTATGAACAAGACAACAAGCACTTGCTTTGACTAGAGACACATTTGTACCTCTTTGCATGGAATTGGTTCAATCCTATCAACTGCTGGGAGAAGGTGACTGAACAGAGATCTGTAAGCAGCTGCTGAGGGAGAGAATATCACTTCAGATTCTAGGAGGCTAAAAACCTCCTTCTCAAAGCCAAAGTATTTTAAAAATTAAAATAAGATTAATAGTTTTGTAATAATGAGTTCATCCTACTCTCTACTATTTACATTTAATATGTACACAAACATAGATTTAAAAGCACTTTCAGTTCTAGTATGCATACTGTAACCAGAGTTCCAAAATTCTCACAGAAGATAATACTGATAATTGTTTGGTTTACACTGCTGATGGAGAACTTCAGTGTTTTGTTTTGTTTTGTTTCTAAGGCTTGTCTGTAGTATCTACTGGTTACAAGGCAATGTCGGATGTATTTTTTTATTTTAAAAAAGCTTCCAGACACCATGCTTGTCAACAAAAAAAAAAAGACAGAAGATAACACCAATTTCAGGCTTGACTTGAAGGCCATGATCATTCAACCTAACCTTTAGATGCACAGGTCGTGGAAATTCCCTCCTCAAAAGAAATAAAATCTCTCTTTTGGAAATGTGCCAGTTACGTTAAAATGTCCACAACCTCTTCTGCCACAGAGATCATTGCACTAGAGCATCTCTTCTGTGTGTACAAGAAGCTTGTACTTGCACTAGAGCATCTCTTCTGTGTGTACAAGAAGCTTGTACAATGGTCAAACAACCATTTGGTCAAATCTTCCATTCAATGCACCAAACTGAATTCCTTGAGCCTCAACAGATTAATGCTCCCGCCAGTGTATCTTCTGAACTGTCTTCCATCAAATCTACAAACTCCAGGTGCCTGAGGATGCTTCACCCTGCTCTTCCAAGAACAGAAAACCCCAGAACTAACTACAGCAAAACATCACACCTTACTATCTACTCCAGATAACTCAATCATGACCAAAGCTTCCTAAGCATTCCATCATCTGGTACTAGCAGTGAACTTGACCACACATTTGTATCATGCACTGACAACATAATTTGTTTTATTACTCAACACCCAGAAGTCTCTACTCTGAGAGTGAAGCCCTAGTCAGACTAAAGTCAACTAAGCTACTGCCACTGACCGCTCAAACAGTCCAGAATTTCAACATTGGTCTCTCCATGGACCAGTCGAGTGACAGAGTAAGGAAACTTTTCAAGACAAACTCTGCCAATCACCCACCTTGAAGGATGAGAGGTCATCAGGGGAAGTGGGAAAAAGCCTCCCACAGTGATTACTTACTTTGGGAAGATGACAGTCATGAGCGCTGATGCATAGCCTGGCTTGCACACTCCCTCAGAGAAATTGGCATACTTTGATGCCAGTTCTGGAGGCCTGCGGAAAAACAAGTACAGAATCAGGACTCTCCTGGCTATGAACTAGTTTTTGCAATCATCCAAGTAATTCTTCTCCTAATAGCTTTGCTATAACTGAGAACAGCTGCTGGGAGTAATTGCAAACACAGACCGTTATTTATTTGTTGCACGATGGCATCACAGAAGAACAACAAAGGAGAGAGGTAAAGATATCTGAAATACCACTAAACCACTAGTTTTGCTGAGAGATTTTCATAGCTAGCAAGGTAAAGCTCATGGAAGAAAAATATCAATATATCATTTCAGACTTCAACCTTTCAAAAGGAAAAAAGACGTAAACAGCAATTTGCTTTGGCTATTTTTTTCCTAAGTTATGATCAAAGTTAAAATTATAGAAAAGTATTATTTAGAAGATTACTTAAAGATAGTTTCAGGAATTTGAAACTAAACTACAAGCAGTACTGGCAGGGTATCATCATAGGATGAGTGGTTTCACTGTTTGGAAGAGATGACAATTGCTGCTGCTTTGTTGAGGAGTGTCTTAATTCAGCTCAACTAGTGACTCTTGGGCCAAATTTAGAATGTTGGGTTTTTTTTCATTCCATTTCTGTACAGAAACAAAAGTAGCAACTCAATTAAAGTTTCAAAATTCAAAATTTTGTTCAAAATTTCAGTCCAGCACATGCATTTACCATAGGTCTAGTGAGTGACCAGAAAAAAACATTTCCTTTTGTGTCACTATTCACCATCTGCAACATTTTTATATTCACCCATTTCATTAAAGCATTACAAGGGTCAATTCACTTGTGCTTTCAAAGTAACACTGGATATCTTAGTGTCAGCCACAATATGAGAATTGTTAATATTCCTTCAAAGAACAACAAAAAAAGCATTTACAATTCCGCGTGTGACACTCAGTGGAAGTTGCGAAGACCCGATCGATAACACTGTTCTTGCTACATCATTATCAGCAACAGGCAAGTAATGAAAAGTTTCTTCCTCCAGTTCCAAGAAGGACTCAAATGAAGATGACAGTGCAGCTCCACAGAGTAGCACCATGAAATCAGTTCTGAAGAGCCTGTTGCTAACCCAGTCATGTTCTTTCCCAGGCATCACCATTATCACTTAACCAGCGAATTACTACCAACTACAAGGAACGTGGATTCACAGTTTCAGAATTACACACAGGAAAGACAGTAACTCCATGCTGAACTGGTAGTAACTATTCTTATATTGGTCCTGCATTACCTCTGAAGAGGCCAATAGCCAGTTCCAACTGGATGAACAAGAGATGGACAATTAATTTTACAGCAAGCTGCATACAGTACAAAACCTGCCATAGCTCCGAAGCAATAGGGAGAATGGTCTCTCTGTACACAGAACCCCTGTAATTCTGAATGTACAGATATGTACAGAATCTCTATGGCTCTTAAAGAATAAAATATATTTCTGCTGAATAAAAATCTAAACCTTCCAACATCTGGAAGAGAAAAGAAACTGGAGAAGACAGTCACTGTAAGTATTTAATTTCTTAAGACCTTTTAAGCTAAAGAGTACCATAAAAAGCTTAAGAACACAGATCCTATTTAATTTTGCCACAGATATCCTGCATAGCTATGGTCCAAACATGTAATATTTTGCTATCAAAAATCCTCATCTGTAGGATGGCAAAACAATGCTTCTGGCCATTTACACTGTAAATTATTTACAATAAAGTTTAGATATCTCTAAGTATGTAATACAGACATGGGGAGAAAAAGACACGTGTAACATTACCTAGCCCAACCCATATCCATGAGTTTGGTTTCCACAGGTGATCATGAGATCTCATAATACATTTCTTTAAATGACAGAGATGAGAAAACATCTGAGAAATGAGCATCTAAAATGATCTCTTTATAAAAAGGCACATTAAGGACTGACAAAATAGAAGGTTATAATGATGCTAAAGTATATTCCATTCTGACAGTCAAAAGGGACAGCAGGATGTATGAACCATAGCTTATTGAAGCATTTCAGATAAGAAGGATGTATGGGAAATTTCAACTGTTTTCAAGCAAACCTAAGCTTGCTAAAATTTTATTCTTTAGGCAACATACCAAAACCTTCAAAAACAAGTAGAAAGCAACTGGAATTTATCTGCAGCCACCATGGTAGTGAGTCATTGCTGGCAAACTTGTATAACTATTTCAACAGCAGGCCTGTCTCAAATGACCTCAGTGGTCACACAAAATATCTTGTGCCACAAACAGGCATTTTTCTCTTTTCTGATTTAATGGTGCTTTCATTATCAAATTAAAACGTCACTCAGATGCCCATCATGGCGTTTCTGCACAAGAATAGCAGGCTGAGACCCTCCTGCATGTGAGCCCCCTGGATGCCAATCACTGCATACTGATGGAGGGAAGCTGTCAGTACAAACCCACAAAGACACTCAGAGCTGCTAAAGCCCCCAGGCCGAGCTGTTAACATTTCTTGGATGTGATGAAGTTCATGATCCAAAGTGCCAGAGGCAGAACAGTTCTCTAAGCCAACTGTAGCTGCCATCTCGTATCATTCAACATTTGCTCATCTCCTTTCTTGGTGCCGCATTTTGAGTCAGCAAGCTACAGAAAACTAGAACGGGGCACTCTACATTTAAAATCCATCTAGGGACGTGTTTTATTTGTTCAATCTCTTTGAAATAGGCATTGCATACTGTCACTGCCAACATGCTCATAATGATAAACCTCTAGTAGGTGTAACCCAGAGCAAATTTAGAGGAAGGCTGGATCCAGCCTTGGTGTTTATCATTCTGCTACCAGATGAAGCTGTCCAAGTTAACAACATTTTAGATATATACATTTGTTTTGTGAGTATTTTTTTCTGCAAGATCCACAAATCTTGCAGAGATCAGTCTTCCATAAATCAGGATGCAAAACATTCTGCACGAAGTATCCCACAGAGAACTATACATCTTTCAAACAAATCCAACTTCAAAAAAATCACACTGTGTTTGCAGCTACATGGTCCTGCAATAAAAGAACTGTACAGAACTGAAGTCTACAAATGAGCATCTCCTCTGTATTTGATGACAATGTACCTAACTACACTGCTGCATATATTGCTGCTTCTTTGATGGGGTTTTTATTTACAAATGGGAAAACAAACACTATTACTGTCTTAGTCCTTTAGAAGCTAGCAGATAGCTTCATCTCACTAGGCCCATTACTGTGCCTGGACTCCAAGGCCATCCTGATAAGCCAGCCAGGCAGGAGCATCATGATGCTTATGACAGAAGAGTGCAACTCTCCCTTACATCTTCCAGGTCCAGGTCCATTATTCCAGCTCACAATTCCCATGCTCATGCTGGGCTGAGGTAGTTAAAGAGGTAGTGGAGACAGCAGAAAGAATGCAATTAGACAACATTGTGGACCCTTTAAATTTTGGTCAGATTATGTGCAGGAAAAAGCTGGTAAAGTAAAAAATTTCTCCAGAATAAATGAGAAAAACAAGTCACAGTCAGTAACTGTAAACATCTGCTGTTTTTAAACAAGTGCCTGCATGAGGGTGAAGTTAAAGGGAAGTAATTGGCTTATTCCACTGAAGAGAAAATGCACTCTTGCTTTATTTTCTGACTATTCTCTTATGAGACCAGCACACATCCTGAATTCTTAAGATTTTCTGTGCTTCTCTACACTGTTATGTGGACATCAATCTCAACAAAATTTCACAATTTGGATAAGTTAAAAATCCAGCTGCTTTCAGAGGATTTAGAAAAAGTAACAAGATTTTTCCTTCTGCTTGCATTTGGCAGATGTGTGTCTTCTTTTAATCTCAAATATGAAAACGTCACCATGGTTAATTCCTTCATCACGTCCTGATCAGGGACAGCATGTCATCCTCATAGACTGGAATCTAAATCCTTTTTAAAAATGAAATTAGTAATACAACTCAGTGTTTAGATTACTGAAAAAATGGCCATAACTAAGCTCATGTAATTGAATATTACAAAATCTACTAGAAGAGAGAGATTTTGCTGCTTAGCCTCTCACATGGAATTTCAATTGCAGGTTGTAAAAAATCAAAAAACTTCATCTACTTGAGATCATCTTATTTGAGGACTGATGTCTCTTGCTGTTACTCTTGCACACAAAATATATGAGCTGACATATTTCTGAAACAAGGGAAAGGAGTTCTTGGCAATGTGCTCTCTAGGCTGATCCCTCTCTTTAGGGTTTCTTTCTCTTTGGTTCAAAATAACTTGAATCTCATGGCTATACAGCAGCTCTACAAAGCCTATGTCATGATACATGAAGAATGAACAGGAGATGGAATGAGAACATGAAATGAAGGAATATTAAACATAGTGAGGTATTATGGAGCAATAATGAAATATTAGCACATAATTTGGCAGATCACTAAATCAAAGCAGTTAATGCTGAGACCCCATAGCTATACCCTGTGAAATTCAGAGCATTTTAATTTAGGTAGGACCCCCTGGATCAGATGCATCCACCATACAGTCATGGCTCAGTGTTGGCCAAAGCACAGTTTTGTAGATTCCTAGAAAAAAACTTCCAGTTCAGTGTCCCTCAAATAAGCCAAGGGCTACATTTCAATCAGCATACAGTAAGAACTAGTTACAGGATTTATTTCAAAATTGCAGGACTGTTCAAAAAACCACACTACTGAAGACACAAGCAGAATGGTTAGGGTGTGCATTTGTGTGTAATTCAATGAATATCGAAAGGTCACAGATAATTGAATAGTATTTGTTTTATACATCACTTATAGTCTAATAAACAGACAGCTTCCAGTCCTTCATGTTCTTTTTCACAATATCATATACGCTTGTAAAGCAACAAATTCCATTTGATGGGAAAAACCACTGAAACAAAACTATAAACCAGCCCTCCCTTCTGCCCAACTGGTAAGGAATTCTGTTAAATAGAGAGGTGAGAAGGTAAGTGCTCTGTCAACTCTCCCCTTCATTACAGACTGCCAGGCTCACAGCAGATACAACCAGTTTACCTAAAG